GCTTTAATTATGTTCAGTTTGTTAACAATGAAATTGGGGGTCACCACAACATGAGGAACTGTATTAAAGGGTCGCGGCATTAGGAAGGTTGAGAACCACTGGTCTAGAGGTTCTTGTGACAATTTCCCAAACTGCTAAGCCCCTTACCACCACAAAACCTCTCCGCCCTCAGCTCTTCCTTAACTTTTCTCCTCCCTCCCTTTATTACTTCCTCCAAGTGATGATCCCAATATATAATTACTTGTTTAAATATGTTTTTTTAAATCAATTTCAGAGAAGAAGGGAGAGGGAGAAAGAGATAGAAACATCAATGATGAGAATCATTCATTGGCTGCCTCCTGCACGCCCCCTATTGGGGATCAAGCCCAGCAACACAGACATGTGCCCTTGACCGGAATCGAACCTGGGACCTTTCAGTCTGCAGGCCGACGCTCTATCCACTGAGCAAAACAGGCTAGGGTAGGAACTGTCTCTTTATTTTTATTGAAGTGAGATTTACAATGCCTAAAATGAACCCTTTTAAAGTAAACGATTCAATGGCATTTAGTATATTCAGTGTTGTGCAACCACCACCTATATCTAGTTTCAAACCATTTTCATCACCCCAAAAGAAAATTCCATACCCATTAAACAGTTGCTTATAAAGCCATATACTTTCACTTTGGTAAAATGTACAGAAATTAGCATCTAATAAAACAAGAGGTCGCCAGGCCATTCCTGTACACAGCACACCCTAACGGGTGCTATCACTGTTGTCCAAAAGCGAGGCAGATCTGAACTTCGTGGAGACAGCAGGGCTCTGTGACTTAGGCAGGTCCTGGTGCCTTTAAATCTCAGGCTCCACAAGTGTTAAATGGGGTGAGTGTGCCCACCTCACAGGATCACAGGCATGAATGAGTGCTCAGTGTCTGGCACAAAATAGGTGCTCAATGAAGATTGCGTCTTCTTTCTCTATAAGCAGTCAGGCAGCTTCTTGCTATGGGTATGGAAGAAGGATTGGCTTTGCCAAAGTCAAACCTGTCAAAGTTCATCCACAGCGGCTGGTCCTTGATACTGTTGCAGCTGTCTAGCTGGCAGCCACCACTTATCTACTTGGAGCCTCTGCTGCCCCTGGAATTTTCCCACGCTCCCTAGAAAGACCCTGGCTTTTCATCCACACAACCTGCTGACCCTCTTATCAACACAGCTTGTATCCACTGTTCCCAGATTGAGTCCTTCCTACATAAAGAAGGGCTTGCAGTCTTTCTAAGCTATATATATATATATATATATATATATATATATATATATATATATATATATATAGCTAATATGCTAAGTGTCTAACCATCCGACTGGTTGCTATGACGCACACTGACCACCAGGGGGCAGATGCTCAACACAGGAGCTGCTGAGCTGCAGTGACTTGGCAGTGGCAGTTCTTGTGTGATGCACCCGGAAACCAGAGAGGAGGGAGCGTGATTCCTCGTGGGGCTGTGCAATTCCACCTTTGGCTGTGGGTTATGTTGTTGCTGGAACACTGTTGACCCCAAATCTGGTTTACTGCACACTTGCGTTTGTGTTCCACACCCTGTACAACAGCAACTTTGCAGTTGGGGATGTTGGAGAGCCAGTTTCAGCCCGATCCCTGCAGGCCAGGTTGAGGGACCCCACCTGCCAGAGGGACCAGGCTCCACAGACGCTGGGGAAAGACCACAGGAGGTTGGCTCCAGGGCGTGTCCAGCCCATCTCACCCTGTCCCGCCCCACCAGCCACTTTCTAATTAATTTCAATGTGCACGAATCCGTGCACCAGGTCACTAGTCTTTAATAAAAATGATAGTAGTAGCAGCCATATATCAACCCTACCTGTGCCTGGGCTTATACCCTCTATTTCTCTGCCTAATCTCTGCAGGGTGAAGCTCAGAGAGGTGGAGGAACTCAGTCAAAGTCACAGGGCCAGTAAGTGGCAGCCTATCTGGCTCCCAAGTTTCTCTACTGTACTACACTTCCTGAGCTGTCTCCATTCCATCTTCTACCTCAAAAGGTGGAGGTTCCACAGTTGGTTCTAACGTTTGATTGTGGCATCCAAATTTGATAAACATTGTTATAAAACAGTGATGGACCTTTGACTCCCCTGGAAAGAATTTTTAAATGCCAAGGTTGTAGGTTTGATTCCTGGTCAGGGCACATACAAGAATCAACCAATGAATGCAAAAATAAGTGGTACAACAAATAGCTCTCCTTCTTCTCACTCTAAAAAAAAAAAATCAATCAATAAAAAATTTAAATATATGGTAGCACAGGGAAGTCTCTTGGTGTTGAGGGACCAACAAGGTGGAATCCCCCCGCAATACTTTCTGGGCATGGGCCGCTGCTGGCCTCTAGTGGCCACTGGATAAATTGCACAGTGAGTTGGCCTGAAAATGGAGATGTGTGAGAAGCTTTTCTCCACTTCTGAATCTAGCTGATGCTGGAGTTCTCAAGTTTGACAGATCTATAACTCCCTCTTCCATAAACTGTTATCAACACTCTGATTTCATAAACTTTGTATGTTAATGTCATTTTCATAGTTTTAGAAACCTGTAATTCCAGATTTTAATTTGCCTTTGACCCAATACTCAGGAGGAAAGAAGTGTGTATGTGTGTGTGTGCGTGTGTGTGTGTGTGTGTGTGTGTGTGTGTGTGTGTGACATTGTTTTTTGTTTTGTTTTGTTTTAGTTGTTGCCAGAGTATGGAGCCTATATAATTCCTCCTTTGGAAGGGGAAGTTGAGTATTATTTGTAGTCTATTTTATAAATGATTTGTAAAAGTATTTGAAAAGGGATATGTTCTGTGGGGTAAAGTTTAAACCTGATGATAAAGCCAAACACTCACAGTCTTATATGGTTTGAGTATGTCTAAGCGGTGACTGTCCTTTCCTGGGACATAGGCTACCGTCAGATCTGCACCCACACCTTTTTCAGTGCTGGTGTCTTTGGCCCAGTATAAGTCTGTAATCTTCGTCGTCCATACCCATCCTCTTTGTCTCATCGATTCCCCGTGTCTTTCTGCTCTGCATGTGGAGAACGTCTCAAATGTGCGACTTCACCCTTGTTTGAGTTTTCCACAGTGTGGAATCCGCTCCTCTGCCTTCAGCGCAGATTTCATCTCTCACTGATTTTGGTTCTGTGTGTTCTGCATTTCAGCAGGCTGTATCATTTGAGGTTTTTCTTGTATTTTACTGAAAACTTAGAACAGACATTTCCTCACATTTTCCATAGCAATTGATTTTTACTGTCTTTTCTACTATCACCTTTAGAATTGGCAAGAGGAGCTCCTACCTGGGCCCTATACTTTCCAGTCCCCCTCATACAAAATAAATGTATCAAGGACCACAGACACCTCTGTCCCTCAGGATCTGGCCCACAGCCCGGCACAGCATGACCTAACCAAACACCCACTCTCTTGACTGGGAGGTGCTGCTTCACATCTTACCTAAGTCTATGGGGGCAAAACTGCAATTGCCTCTGCAGGTTTAATGAAAGCTTAATGGGGCCCATGCTAAGTACTATTTGAAAGTGCAAAGAGGCTTTGAGTAGAAAAGTACTTAAGAGAAAAGAAATTAGTGAACTTGTCAAAGCTTTCCTCTCAGATAGCAATAGAAGTGAGTGTAATGAAATAGCATTTTCTAGTAATGCCGAATGTGCAATTTCTTCTTGTTCTTGTGTTCCTGTTCGTGGTCTGGAGGTACCTGTGAATTAGTACAGTATTTGCCTCAGTCGTAAATGGAAGCTGAGGACATTTTTGCCATATTACATAAATCACATTACACATCACTCTTAAATTTGTCTATATGTCTGCACTTTAGACATAACATGATACTAATTATTTACACTGGTAACTAGATGGATATTGAATGCTAGAATTCTGAATTTTAATATTTTTGCATAAAAAGTTACTTAAGTTTTAAGTTAAAATTTTAATTAAATGTATAATTTAAATTTAAAGTTACTTAAAATTGAATTAAGCTTTCAAAGACACAGTCAATTTGCATGGTTAAGACCAGAGTATTTCCAAGAGAGTGATGATGTCACAGAACTGGGGTTCCAGGAGGCAGGGGGTGGGGGATGGGGGTTGCCCAGCATTCCCACCTTCTTTAGAACAGGCAGTGCTGTGAGCTGGGCGGGGCTAGAGTATAGTTCATGAGGAAGAGGAGGCTCCTACCCAAACAGCTTTGTTCTACAGATTCTCACAGAAATTCCTGGGCCAGTTGGGACTGGAGTCAGAGAGGGGTAGGAGAGAGGTAAGCTTCAGAAGGGGAGGTAAGAATGCACCTGCTAGAACCACTATCTTCCCCAAGGGGACCTCAAGAGTGGACTTCATTGCTTTCCAAGGCTCAGTGACACGCGTCTCTGAAGGAACCTGCTCAGTCAGGGCAGGGTAGGGTTGCATGAGACATACATACACTAAAAAAAACTATTCGTAGTTTGTCTGAAATTCTCATGTGACTGGACATCCTGTGATTTTATCTGCTAAGTCTGGCCACTCTAGGGTGGGAGACAGAAACAAAAGAATGGTTGCAAGCTCAGGATGCCATGGAGTGAGTCTTAGAAGACAGAACAAAAGATCTGTGAGGAGACAAGGCCAACAGGGTAGCCACCTTGTTCAAGCAGAAACTGCTTCATGTCTGACTCAGGGAGCTGGTGGATAGAGAAACCAAGGCCCTTGCTCTCAGGGACATACACCTAGTTTAAGGGGAAAGATACACACATATACACACGCACATACACACACGCACAAGCACAAACACCACTAGTGTCAAAAATAGCCCCGTTCTTTGTTTTCATGGCATTGGCTGTTTTGAAGAATATAAGCCAGTTATTTCCTAGAAGTTCCCTCTGTTTGGCTTGTCTGATGTTTCCTTGGGATTAGATATAGGTTATTCATCCCTCGTCAGAATAGTACATAATAATTAAGAAGAGACGAAACAGCCAGGAGGGGAGCAGTGAGTGAGCGAGGACGTTTGGCTTCTCTTTCCAGATTCCTCAGACTCTCAGAGAGAGAGCCAGCAGGAAGTCTGAGAGACCCTAAGAACCGCAGGCCCTCAGCTAACCTTCTCCCCTCCGAGGATGACAAGGGCATTATTCATCTCCTTGTTCAGCTGCCTTGTTGCCATAAACCAGGCCAGCCTCATCAGCCGCTGTGACTTGGCCAAGCTGCTGCACCAGGAAGATTTGGATGGGTTTGAGGGCTACTCCGTGAGTGACTGTGAGTGCCATTTCCTCACCCCCACCCCCATTTCTCCTGTCCTGGTCATCTCCTACTTGGCCATCTTTCTCTCTCTCTCATCTTTAAAAGCCAAGTTCAAAAAGCAGCCCCCTCTAAGACACCTTTCCCAACATTCCATATTCAACAATTATTTATTGAGTATTGTTATATACCAGGAACTATTTTAGGTGCTAGGGATATAAACAAAGCCACTTCTCTCATAATGTTCACATTCTGGGGAAGAGACAAGCAATTAACAAACACAAAAATATACAAAGTACTTCCTGGTGTTGACAAGTGCTATGCAGAAGAATAAAGCAGGGGGCAGGTGACAGGTAACACTGTACTGGAAAGGGAGGTCAAGGAAGGCCTTTCTGAGGAGGTGACATTGAACAGTGCTGCATAAAGTAAAGGGCATGGGGAAGAGCATTCCAGGCAGAGGGAACAGTCAATGCAAAGGCTTCATACTATTGCATGCTAGGGATATCTCCATTTTGCCCAGAATTTGTGCACACCACTCCTACAACGCTTTCATTTTTAAATTTATTTTGTGGTATTTGTAGGTCCTTATCTTCATTCTTGTACTATAGGCCATTTGAAGGCGGCATCTGTATTTGGACCAACTAAGTGTCCCTTGCTGGGCTTTGCACAGTTCCTGGCACCCAGTAGGTGATTATTAAGTGCTGGAAGCATGGATGGAAAGATGAATTGTTAAACTGATGGGTGGGTTGATGGACCAAAGGATGGGAGGAGAAGCTAGGTATTTCTAGCCCACTAGCCCCATCTAGCCTCTTAGCCCTTGTTTCTTTCGAGTCCTCATTTCCCTTTCTCCTTCATTTCCCTCTCTCTCAGCTTGGCCTCCTCTAGCACCCTCTTCTCTTTTTTCCTAAGGGCTGTGCCTAGCTTTTGTGGAAAGCCATTTCAATATGTCAAAGGTAAATGAATATGCAGATGGAAGCTCTGACTATGGCATCTTCCAGATCAACAGCCACTACTGGTGCAACGATTACCAGAGTCACTCGGAAAACACTTGCCACGTGGCATGTCAAGGTCTGGCCAGGTCCCGGGGGCGGGAGGGGGGGGAGGGGAAGGAGATGACCAAGTTCTACTCACAACACTTCTCTTTCCACTTGCAGTCTGAAAGTGCCCCCAGAGAAATGGCTCAAGGAATCAGGGGCTTCTTTTACTGAGCAGGTTTGACTAGTGGCCATAATGCTCATCAGTTAGGAGATTCTTCTGTGTCCTCGAGCAGGGTCCAGAAGGGCTCTGCACAGCCTGCAGCAGCAGAGCAGCAGCCAACATCTATTGAGAGCATGTTATGTACTAAGCACTTTACATGCATAGCTGATTTCATCCAACTTTCCATGCTGTGAAAACCAGTACTCCCACTTTACAGAAGAGCAAACTGAGGCTTATCGAATTAGTGGTGGCCAGTCTGGCGATCCTGGAGGCTAACCAATAAGTGTCCCTCTAATTAAACCAATAAGTGACTGCGGCTCGTGAGCCACATGTGACTTTTTGGCCCCTTGAGTGTGGCTCTTCCACAAAAAACCACGTGCAGGCGCACGTACAGTGCGATTGAAACTTCGTGGCCCATGTGCAGAAGTTGGTTTTCGGCCTGGGCGAGTCTATTTTGAAGAAGTACTGTTGATATTTGGCTCTGTTGACTAATGAGTTTGCAGACCACTGCTCTAAACCAATAAGTGTCTTTGGCGAATGATCTGACCAAAAGCCAAGGGCAAACTTTCCATTTCAGAGCTGGTCCAGTAGACTCTACAGGTGCCTAACTCTGCCCCTCATCTCATCTTTTGTATTCTGATTAATGTCCCTGGATATTTACCGAAAGAGTCCCCTCATTCGTGCTCTCTGTGCTGCCTGTTTTGGCATTTTCTTTCCCTAGAAACTCCCAACGTTTGGGTGAACCACCATCTACTCTGGCTAAAAACTATAATAGTAAACAGACCCAAATCTCAGTCTTCCTGTCCCCACCTTTGGCCACCCCGACCTCCAGCAGGCATCGTAGGGATGTCTAAATGGGCCTCTAGGAGGGAGGCCTCGCCTACTCTGGAAGTACTCAGCCCCCAGGAAACACACGCCTGGGCGGGAGAGCAAGAGTCTGCCTCGGTCTCTGGGACTGTTCTCTGCTCTCACAGGTATTCTCTTTCTCCTTTTCAGAACTGCTGAGCCCCAATCTTCTCGCAACCATCCACTGTGCAAAAAAGATTGTGTCCAGAGCAGGGGGGATGAAGAACTGGTGAGGAGGACACTGTAGGACTAAGTTAGTGGATAGAGCCCCAACAAGGGTGTGGTGACAGGGAAAGGGGCAGTAGGCAAGGACCAGACCTTTTCTGCAGTCTAGACCAGTGTGGGACAGTGGCAGGGCTTGGCTCTGACTTAAAGACCTGGGATCTAGTTCTTTCTCCGATATTAAAGAAAAGTCTTTTGGCTGCAGTAACAAAACAACCTGAGCTAGCTGAGGGAGAGCTGATCTGAGAAGACTCGGTGACTTGCCGAGCCCGCAGAAGGGGTGCAGCTGGGCCTCAGGAACACGGTGGAAGTTGGACTGGAAATTGGCAGGTTTCTGCTTCTCTTGGTGCATTTGCTTCACTACTCCCTCTGCAGACCAGCCTTCTCTGCTCCCAGTCTAGACAGACTACGCCGCCTACGTTTATGGTCTAACATCCTAAGCAGCCACTGAGACTAGCTAAGCCCAGTCCCCGTCTAAATGCCTGGGAAAGAGAATCCAATTGGCTCAGCTTCGACCCCATGTGCCCACTTGGTTCAATCAGCTGTAGACACGGGAACAATTAAAATAATGCAATCATGGCTGCCACAGGGTTTCTCTCTTCATCACTGGCAGCAACATTTTCTATAAAAATGTGTTGCTCATCATCTGGCAGTCAGCCCCAAAGTTGTCAGCTTACCAACACTGGACGTTGGGATGGTTACTTAACTTTTCTGAGCTTTAAACTGGATACATAAATAATGTAAAAGGCTGCCTCTGCAGGCAGCTGTGAGGATGAAAGGAGTTAAGTGCCTTGCATACTCTAAAAATGCCCTGCAAAACAAGGGGCATGATGACTGGTAGGGCTGAGCCTTTCTGGAGGGAGAGTCAATGGTTGCACCTGGGATATTTATCTATTAGTAACTCTCAGCCCGTAAAACAGTGTTCTCCCCCTTCGGAAGGAGATAAGGATTTTAAAATGTCAAAGCATACTGACTGGGGGGAAAGTACAGATACCGTGGACAAAGGACACTTAAAGGAAGAATCAGAGGGGCGGCAGAAAGATAGATGAGAGAGCTAGGCATGAAGTTGCTCTGTGTGGAAGACTCACTAAGAGCTGGTCATGTGTGTGGGAAGCAAGAACCAGTCTTTTTCTCTCCACAGGGCAGAATGGTCGATACACTGTGCCGGCCGGCCACTCTCCTACTGGGTAACAGGATGTCACATGGGATGAGGCAGGGTGCAGGCCTGCTGTGGAGTCATTCTAAAACTCCTCTCCTCCCATGGGGATTCTGCCTCTTGCCTCCACTTCATGTTATTTTCTTCCCTTCCCATTTACAAATAAAACTAACCAGAGCCCCAGGAATAAATGGTTTTCTCGGGCTTACTCCTTGTTCCCATCCAGGCCCAGGACCCTGGCTGCTGATTGTCATTTGTAAACCAAGAGGACCACAATGAAGATGTTTCTGTATTTTGGGAATGATTAAAACATTCTTTGTGCAAAGAATGTGTTAAGTATTCATGATTAATTCCACGTATCTGAGAGCATCTAATATAGTCGGAGTATGTTAGGTACTAGAAGAAGGAAGATGAAACCTAACCATTGTTCTTGAGGTGTTCATAATCTAGGTGGAGAAGCAGAGACACACAGGAATAAGGATGCACAAATGAATGGATACATACATTCTAGCTAGCCCCTTCTCCCAAAGCACCCCCACATCAATGGCACCTAGCACCATTTCTCCACTCCACCACCACTTTCTTCACCTTAGTACACCTGACTCTTAGCCCCACCCATTACCGACTTCTGAGCCTTTTCTTACTTCAAAAATAGTTGGCTGTGGAGGAAATACTGGGTTCCCGATACTGTTTCAAACCAGTAATTATAGATTTTATTCTCCATTTCGTTATCCATCGTATCCTCCATTCTCTCCATTCATCCTCTGATAGAGGATGACAGAGGTGGGATGATGAACCAAGCTTGTTGGTCGGACAGATCCAAATTCTCATCGCCACCTTTGGGACAAGGGGTGGTAAACAGATAAATAAATAGCTATATACAGCGGTATTCTAGCAAAGGTTTAACAACCAGTACTCAAAAAGACTCCTCTCCTCCCTAATTTGTAACCTTTGACGATGTTAGTGATGTAAGTACTTCCCCATCATGAATGTCTTCAGGCCACCAACCTGCTATCACTAAATGCCAAGCTGGGAAGAGATGGGCTAATAGAAGCTAGTGGAGGGCACCACGGGATGGTTCCCTCAACGCCGGGTAGTGATACGTGCTATAAAGAAAAAGAAAGCCCAGTACTCTGAGAGAGAGTAGCCAGGAAACACCATTCTGAGGCTGTAAACGGCAGACTGACTACCATCCATTGCACACCTGAAGGTGGAAGCTGCACGCGCCGAACGGATTTACGACTTTACAGATGAACCAACCTGAACAGCCAACTGAAGCCCAGCTGAACACAAGTGTTATAACCAACGGTTTACAGAAGAAGCCACATAGAGACTGAATAATATTGAATGTAAACTGTAATTGAAAAAAAAATTTTTTTTAATGGTCCTCGCTATATAAACTGTCATTCCCTTTGACAGATGAGAAACTAGGGACAATGTTCTGAGACCCAACCTGGGAAGACATTTGACATGGAAACTCAGGAGAGGGGAACAGGGTGGAGAGACGAAACAGGTGGGTTTACTCTCTCTCTCCCACTCCCATGGCTCCCTCGCGGTTGGGGGAAGCGAGAACACAGGCCCGGTTGGCAGGAAATGAGGAAAGTCTAGTCCGCTCAAGCCTGTGACTTGCATGTGAAGGCGGCACACAAAAGTGACTGTTCGGATGCTGGCAGAGTCTTGCCAAACCCATCTCTCGGCACATCCAGAAACGGGCCGAGAGGGCCGGCTAGGATCTGGAGCCCGTGAGGACCGAGGTCCAACGCCGAACGAGCTCTGCGGCCCAAGGCGGGAAGGCAGCTGCGCGCGCACCCTCCTCCCGCGCCAAACGGCTCGCGTCTCCAGGCCGTACCACGAGAGGAACAGGCGCAGAGGAAGACAACCCCTGGTTTTACCGATGGAGCCATTATTTTCTGCAACAAACCCTTTCCTTTTTTTAAATTTTTATGTAGTTGCGATGAACTTGAGCCAAATAGGCTTTCTCTGCCGAGCAGGATACTGACTTGCCTACCTGGATCTCCCCCGCGCACCCCTCCTCTCGTTTTAGCTTCCTGCTCGCCTCACTCGTTTCAGCCAACCCTGGCGAAGCTTCTGCGTTACGTCACGAGTTTCTAGGCAGATCAGGAGCGCCCTCGCGCGCCCCCGCCTGGTGGCGCCTCCTCGAGCGACCAAACGGTCCCAGCGCGTGGCGGGACCCGAGAGCGCGGCAGGCGAGGCGTGCGAGACCGGCGGGCGAGTGGACCGAGCGACCCGAGGAGAGGAACGGCGGGAGCGGCGGGGAGCGGCCCTCAGTGAGGATCTAGGCTTGGTTCTGTTTGCTCGGGTTTATGCCGGTGTCTCCTCGCGGAACCGATAGAGATCTGGCCTCAGGGCCAGCTTCGCCTCCTCACACGTTCATGGGCTGGAAACCCTAAGGAGCACTTGTCTTTTTTTCCACACATAATTTTTTCAATGTTTTAAATGCCATTCCCTTTAAAAGCCTTTACGGTCTGCGGGGCTACGAGCGTGAGAGCCACCCTAGAGAGGAAACTCCTTCGGAGCAAGAGCTGGCCTTCTGCTCTGTGCAGCCAAATGGTGGGCGCGGGTCCTCCCTCAAGTATTTGTAAATATCCTCACTGGTGGGTTGGCTGGTTCGTTCATTCCTGGTTAATTAACTTCTGGACTCGTGGGATCCATCAGTGACACACACACACACACACACACACACACACACACACACACACACGCCCTGCGCTCACAGGCCTGCGGTCCGGGGAGGGAGGTGGACATACTGAGAGGCCTAAGAGGTAAAGGGGAGGATGCTGGGAGCTCTTAGATGTCCCTCCATTCAGAGTTGTTTGTGGTGCTGTGGCCTCATCCAAGCACAGATAATATGGACTCACAGAATATCTAGAAGCGGCGAAGTCCTCAGACCACCGCCTGGGTTTGAATCCTGCCTGAACCTCTTCATTAGTTGTGTGATTTGGAATAAGTTATTTTACTTCTCTTAGCCTCCGTCTCACCTGTAAAAGTGGGGGTGATTAAAGCAAAGCACTCAGTCCAGTGTCGGGAGCACCGTATATGTTTTCCAAATGTTAGAAATTACTGGACAGGATGTGACCGAGAACGTGCCTGTAGGTCCGCAGTGAACGCCCAGCTCGGAGTAGGTGTTACGAAGAGAGCACTTTGTGTCAAGGAATTAGAAAGTTCATCAGGATTCTAATAGTGCCCACAATAAAAAAATAATAAAAACGTTAATTGGCATTCTGCAGTGTATGAGTTAATGTGACTGACATGAAAAGAATCATTCCGCTAAATAATGTTATGTGTGCCCTTGAAACAGTGAGAAGGCCATTTTCCTGTGCCCTTCAATATGAACAATGGATATTTTCTAAATCCTACGTGAGATGTGAAAAATACTTAAAACACTGCTATTTTGATTGATCTGTAACATACACTTCTAAGTAAAACCAATATGCAAGCACAACCTCTAACCCGCATTTCCAATGAAAACCATACTCCCTAAACGTCTTCTATCTAGACTTTTTAATATCCATGAGCTGTAGGACTCATGCTTTGCATAAAGTGAGGCACAGATAATGTGAATAAGTGAGGTGTTGTGAAGTTGGACAGGGTCAGTCAAGAAACCTTTCTCAGGAGAAAAAAAGCTTGAATGAGGTTTTGAAGGAAAATGTTTATGGTTTGGTGGAGAAAAGAGAAGTGGACACTCTACATTTAACTCAGCCCAAGACGTAATCCGTTGGTGAACTTGGAAGCAGATCAGGAAAAGACGGATTATCTTGAGGGGTGTTTCATAGAGATCATGAAGAAAGAGGCCCGATGAAACATGTCTCCCTTACATCAGAGGCTGGAACTCCAGGGACCATTTTCTAGATTCAGGGTCACTGTCTGCAGGACAGTGCTAGATAAACATCAGATTTTATCCCTCTAAACCTTGTTTTTCATGGCTCCATGCTAACAGCCCTCTTCTGTTGACTCAAATAGAAGCAAACATGTAAACAGACAAGTGAGATACACGCTTATACAGGACTTCCACTTAATCTAATATTCCCTATTATTTTCCTGCGTCTTTTTGCTATATGCATAAACCAACCCAAAATACAAACAAGATGTTCTTTTCATATCACCCACACCATTGACACTCTTGCTGTAGTTTCTCCAAACTATGTAAGGTTTCAGGAAAGGAGCTGGCTTTAAAAAATACCAAAGAAATAATTTTCTATATCTTTTTTTTTTTTGGTCACTTTCTCCAGCGTTGCTCTTTTCGTTCTCTCCAGCTGTTGGCCTTTCTCACAAGGATGGAAATGCTACTCTTTGGTGTCTGGGCCCTGCTGGCTTTGATCTCTTTCCCAGGTGAGGCTATTTGGAAAAGTTTCTTTAGCTAGTATGTGTCAGGACACAGGTGGCTGGTCAATGAGGAAAAGGACAGGAAGTCCTGAACAGGGCAACACTCTAGTATTATTGCCCCCTGGACTCTTGGGAGAAATATCTATTCCTTGCATCACTAGGACACAGAATCTAGGTGTCTCTGACTGTATTGGGATAACCCAGGGCTGTCCTACTTTTCTGCTCTTAAAAAAAATAGTTTTACTTCCTTGTTGCCACCCTCTGTGTCATGAAGAGCCACAAGAGGACTTTGATAGGATAGGGCCCATAGCTCAGTTATGAGGAGTGAGTTCTCTGAATGATTAGAAAGGAACTGAGCCTCAGTGGGTAACATTGCCACGGGAGTGCCTATTCCCAGAGGGGACTGGTATTTGGGAGATGAAGTGGGTGGGCTTGGAGTAGCTAAAGGGGATTGTAGGGAAGCTTTCACCAGGCATCTAAAATTTACCTGAGCGAGACCTTTCTCATTGCGCCTGAGATTTCCCTAACAGGCTAACCTCTTAAGCATTCAAAAACATCTGATGCTTTAGCACCAGACTCACTCTGAGAAGAGGTGAAAGGTGCCATGGAAAATGAGTGACCCTGGGAGTCACATTTAGAAACTCGTGGTCCTCATAACTTAGTGTGCATTAGGGTCACCAGGAGTGCTTGTTTTGTTCACCTGCGTATTTCCAGGTTCCACCTTCTTTAACCATTCAGTCTGAGGTGGAGCTAGAATTTGTAGTTTTACAAGCATCCAGGTGATTCTGGTGACTGTCATTTTTAGGCCATATGGTTTGAGAGAAACACTGCTTTGAGATAAAACAAAGCTCTTTTTTAGGGGTCTAATTACCCCAGCAGCCAGTTGGGTCCTCAGCAGCCAATCCTGAGAGCTTCAAAGAT